TGCAGATATAAATACACCCTAAAATGTCAAAAATGAATAAATAAAGTTATCTCTGGGTGGTAAGATAACAGATGACTTTCCTTTTTCATCATGTTTTGATAGTCTGAATTTTTCAAAAATAATAAGCCTATGTTACTTTTATAATCAAGAGAGTAAAAGTTGTTTTCCTTTTAGATAAAGTCACCATCCTAGCCTTACAGAACACTACATCTGTGCCTCTTTTTTAGAAATGAAGAATTAGAAAGAAAGCTAGAATAAATGAACTTGTCAGCTTTTAATAGAAGAACACCTACTAAAATACGCAGTAGCTCCTCATTTCAGAGGAACATTTATGTGGATGACTTTTTAATAGTGGAGCTTCTGGGTCAATGTTTTTCTAGCTAGAGGTTATGACTTTTCTTGGGCAGATGACAGGGACAAGGAAAAATGGTGAGGAGAGGATCTCAGAAGGGCTCAGGATGGGAATGCAGACATGAGAGGTCCAAAATATTCCTTTGGCTCATGAAGGTATCTCCACTCATCTGATATGCCCTCTCCCCCTCCAACACACAGACACACACACACACACACACACACACACTTTGTCAACTGATCAGAACCCTCATTAACCTTGCTTCATCTCCCTGTGCCAATTTTCAGCTTCAACTTGTCTTCACCCCCACCGCCACCTTCTCTTCCTATCTTTCCTGCTCGGCTCCTTTCTTCTCCTGATCTGAACACACTTGTCATTTTTCTTTACGTTTATGAAATGAAAATAGTTCCTTGCTTTAAAATAAAATAGAAACATAGTATGAGATAATAAGTCTTCAGAGCCCCAAATATTTTTTTAAGTTCAACATTTTAAAAGGTTGGGAATATTTTCAAAAAATCAATGCTCTCATGAGGGTTGAAAACAGAACTTCGCATTGGCCTATAAACACGCCTTTGCTGAACTCCATCTAAGCTGAAGCCAATCATTTTCTATAAGAAAGAAAACGGCACAAATGTATATGTGTGCATACAAAAAGTTTTAAAAATATGTGTACATAATATTAATAGTACTTTTGTCTGGGCTATTGGGAGGAGTTTTAATTTCCTTTCCTGTAAATATTCTCTAATTTCACATTACTCACATAATTAAAAAATAAATACATTCATTGAATACATGCCCAAAGAGAAAAGGGTAGGAAAGGCCGCAGCCAGGGAAGGGAAAGTAGCAGCAGGAAAGTGAGAAGTGAAGGCAAAGAAGCTTCTGAATTCGTCCATCCCAAGTGGAAAGGACAGGGGAAATGACACAGAACAAAGTCACAAGTCTTCATCACCATCAAACCCAGGAGCCCCATTCTTCGTTCTGATCAGTAGAGCTAACAGACTCCAGCCAAGTCCAGTGCAAGGCAACAATAAAGAAAGAACTGTTTAAACAGCATAAATGTAACCATTAACAACTTTTTGCTGGGGGTGGAGACGGAGGAGTATGCTCGGGAATGCTGACGTTCACAGAGCTGTGGCTCTCCACCTTTGCTTTGCAGCTCCAGCTCCAGGAGCCCCTTAAAAGCAGCCTATCTATCTACAAGAAGTAAATCTCTTGGATGGGTACCTTATGTTCACAAGCTTGCAAAGGAAGGTGCCGAACTGTGCATTGGGGCTCCCGGCCAGAGAAGACAGCTATCTCTTTTGGCATAGGTTCTCAGGGATGAGACCATGTCTAGTGGGGATTTTCTCCAGATTCGACAGCCTTGGCCCTACCAAACCACGCAGCTTTGTTTTCACCATCCATCACTCAACACAAGTCTTTCGTTTTTCCTTTCAAGCATCCACAGGTCAAATGCTGTGTGTTCCCAACAGTCTGTGAACTTCTTGGACCAGCAGAGGGACATTCATTTTGCTGAGCACTCCTTTCACATTTCTATTGTGCTCGATTTCCCACTCCCCCTACCCAAGTCCCCAGAGAATAACTTCTTCCTTGTTTTAGTTACTTGGACCACAGTCAAGGTTGATGTGTTTCTCCATTTTGCAGGATATTTTCTTCAGAAGAGACATAACAGAGGCCAACAGAGTAGCCGCAGCTTGTTAGCAGCCTTAGGAAATCAGCAGCCATTGAGAGCACACAGAAAATATTTTTAAAGAAATAAAAAGCAGACAACACAAGGGACCATAAATAGAAGGATTTGTAATGGTGGATTATGGCTTAGAAAGAGTCCCTGACCATTTTTTCTTCCAGAGACTTGCTTTAAAAATCTAATTTAATTGTTTGTGGGTGAGGGAAAGGTAAGTGGTTTCATAAAGTACCTTCTCTCTGACTTAAATTGAAGTATAACATTCTCCCATTTGAGGCCATAAAAGTATCTCTGATCCCAATGGACATGAAGATATTAGAAAATGAGCGAAGCAAGAAGGTGGAAAGAATATTACCCTCCCTCCCCATCACATCTTATTTTCATTTCTTGCCCACGTTGTACTTAAAATCCTATCCCCACCCATTATAACACTGCTCCTGACATCTAATGAAAGATGTCTCCACGGAATTGCTTACGACGCAAAGAAACAAGCCTATTCTTTGTGGAGTCACTTTTTTTAAAAAGTAACATTTCCAAGGAAAGAAGACATGACCAAGTATTTAGTGGGGTTTAGTCTGAGGTACGTGATCTTTTAATAAAAAGTTGATAATGCCTCATTTTTATGAGTGATACAGAAATTATATCTTTTTTCTCTAAAACATGAGTCAAACTGCTAGTTTTTCTGTTATAGATCTACCTTGTCACCACGATTGTTCTAACCACTGTTTCCAAATACTATCAAGACACTAGTTATGGATGAGAGCAAGAAGTTAATTGTCTTTGTCCTTGTTCATGGAGTATCTTTTCCCAAATATACTCTCCATATTAACAAATGTTTTCATGCCACGGCAAAGAAAGTAAATCCAGTATCGTAGAGAATAATGACCCCAACCCAGATTGTATCTCCCCTGGGGAAAAGCCAAACTTTCTACTGGTATTACTGGTTCAATTGAATCCAGTTCTTGGCTGTTTGTGGGCTTGAGGGAGAGAGTTAAAGAGTCACATTTTTGAGAGCTCAAAGAGAGGCAAATTATGGGTCATGACAGATCAGTGGGTTGTAAAATCAATGTAGTACATCACAACCAGCACTTAAAAAAAATATTATGGTATAGGCTAGAAAACAGCATGTACAGCATGTCATAAGGATATGTATTGTTTAGTGAAAATCTGTGGGTTTGTGTGTGTGCATGTGTGTGTATATTGGATCTCAGTGTAAAAAGTACTTCTAATTGTGGTCACAGTCTAAAAAGTTTAAGAAACTCTAATCGAGGGCCCAAGTCCTGCAGTCAGAACTCGGTCCAGCATGACTCTGCCAATTACTCGCTATGCAAACTTGGTTAGGAGGCTTAATCTCTCCAGCCTCGTCATCTGGAAGACGGATGTGACCATAGTATCCTGGGGTTGTTATAAGATCCGAAGAGGAAACATATGTAAAGCCCCTCATACAGGGCCTGATAATATTAACATACAACTTTAGATAAATTTTCAGTTCACTAAATGGAAGCAGATTAGTTACAATATGTTCTAAATGGACAAATCCATCGTGTGAGAAAAGTCAGTAAATTAGATAATTGTAATTTTTTGCTCTCCAAAAGAGCTGTTCTTCAATGGGACTATCTGTTGGGCCATTTAATCCTTTTTAAACAGCTCCCTGAATAAAGTTAGCATTCAAGAAATACATTTTTATTTCAGAAATCCTTTTCCAAGATCTAAGTAACAGAGTTACAGACCAATGAAAACTCTTCTAGTTTTTTGTTTGTTTGTTTGCTTTCCTTATGGAAGATTGAATGAAACAAATTATTCACATTTTGTGCTTCATCTTTCCAATACAGCTTCTGACTTCCCAGCAAGTGACTGATATAATAGAACACATCTAAAGACCTTTAGAAGTATCAAAATTATCTTAACTCTGGAAAGGCCCAGAATCAAATATGTGCCAAATTCCTTATCTGTAATTTCTGTAGTTAAACAAACCAACCCTGTATTCTAGCAATGAAGAAATTTTTAAAAAATTGAAATGTACTGCTCACCCCACAATCATATTCTGTCTATTCTTGGCATTTAGTTTGGGGAGTTACTAAGTTCTGAGTAGAGAGGAGAGAAAAAAAGGAAAGGATACAGAAAGAAAAGATGGGACCCAGAAACCAAGAAACCTAAAGCAAGTTGAGAGTAGGTAGAAAGACAGAATGCTAAAACTGTCAGCAGACTCTAGGATGGAAGTGCGGAGAGAAACCATTCAAAGCAACAGAAGGCTTTCAGGTCCAGAGAGAGGAAGTGAACATTTGGATAAAATAACAGGAAAATTTAGGGATGGGGATATAACAGTAAGTCTTGGAAGGTGAAAAACAACTCTGCTGATCATTGAAGGATGATCCAAAAAAACAGGACTAAGCCATCAGAAGAAAGAAGGAAGAAAAGAGGGAGGCTGGTTCTGGTATTTAAGCAGAGAAAATAAAAAGAAAATAGCTACAAAAATGTTCCAGGGTGCAGGCTATAGGGCTGGGGAAGGCATAAATGTTTAGGAATAAAAAAAAAAAAAAGTCTTTGCAAAGCCTGGCCACAGACTTGGGGTAAAAATTAAGTTCTCCCCGAGAGATTTAAAGGTAAGTAGAGAAAAACCAAGTTAAGTTAAGATTGAAAGATTTGACTAATTTTAACAGGGACATGTATAATGCCACAAATTTAGTATTAAGTGAAACATTCATGAGGAAATGAGTAGGGCTCCTACTGCGTCATTTTCTAAATTGTTTTCCAGGGGTACGTTGATGAGAAATGTCACCACCTCCATTTCGCCCCCAGTATGTTTACGATAAACAAGAGGCAGAGAGAGGAGGGTGATACAGTCTTCCCATCCACCAATGGCTCCCCTGATTACCCACGTCAGTCCTAACTCCTGCAGTGCCCCAGGAGCCAGTCACCAAGGCCTATGTCACTTGCTTTGCCATCACCGCATTGTGCACTCACTTGCTCTGCCCTTCTGTCCATTTCACTGAGCTGGAGCTCCCAGCAGCAACTCTAGAAGAGAAGAAGAGGTGGGGAATGGGGAATGGAGCATGCACAGCTCTGGCAAGCCCCCCAGGTCCCAGAATCCAATGAGAAGAATCCAGAGATGTGAAGCTAGCTTCTAGCCAAGAGTACTGAACCAAGTCTCCAAGCCCACTGGGATAAAGGGTGTGGTGAAATGCACCACCATAGAGAGGCTAGAAAGAGCCTGGGCTTTGGAGTGACATCTGGGCTTGGAATCCCAGCTCTACCACTTAGGACGTGAACTTGGGAAGTTACTTAACTCTCTGAGCTTGATTGACTCATCTGGAAAACAAGGTGACAGTATCGAGACCTCATAAAGTTGTTAGGGAGATAAGACGGGGTGACCTAGAAGAGCACCTGATACATCACAGGCACTTCGTGAGTGTTATAACCTACTCATCTCCTTAGACTTGTTAGAAAGCTAAAAGTGAGTTATTTTACTGTTGAAAGCAAGTCCCACCTGCCTTCCTTTTCTCATTTTTAGGTGCAAAGAGTAGCCTGTACCTATGTTTGATGGCTGTATTCTCTCTATTGTGGTTGTGTGTATCATGTGGAAACAAAACCTGTAGGTGCAAGCAGGTATGAGCACATCTGACTTTGGATTGTCCAAATCATCATCACACAAATGTGAATTTGGATCCTGGACTTTGTACATCCAAAACATTTCTTGAAAAGATAGTGTAATGGTTAAATCTGTGGCATCACCAGCAAAACATACACATTACGTGAGGTTGCACAGACACAACTTTGAAGAATTCTAAAACATTCGACAAGGGAAGACCATATTAATATCATTCCCAATATTACCAACTCCTTGTCCATACAAAAAGTCCCCTATTTATATTTTTGAAAATTTAATACTGAACACAATCCACCAACATGAGGAGGGAGGGAAACATCTTTATGCTACAGAAAGCAACACCCATTCTTCTAAAACTGTACTCTCTTCATAAGTTATAAAAACTTTTAATATGGTACAAACAGGTGTAAGTTCCTATTGAAGGGCAGTGGTTTAGAAAAGACCTTACCCCTTTAAGGTGGCTCCTAAGTTCATCTGATTCCAGGTCATGCATTCAAGCTGGGAGGTCATTTGGTATAAATTGTCACTGTTAGGAAAACATTTAGAGTTAGAAACACATAAGCACAAAGACATATGCAATTATTTCTTCAAAAGCAATGTAGTTTTATCTTTTCTTTACAGTGCAAGCCTCCACGTTTTCCAGAATGACAGAATATGCAAGTCTGAAACGATTTTCATTTCATCCCACTGATCTCTGCACAGTTATTCACTTCACACACAGCCGAAAGGATGTGAGAGTAATTTGGAAGCCTTTAAAAAACTTTTTAGTATAGCAAACATTGAAGTTTCTAAAGAGGTATTAAACCTTGGAGGGGAAAAGGCTAAAAGGGAGTGAAACTTTGAAAGGCAACACAGGCTGGATAACTCAACATTAAAGTTAAAAGCCTGGAGCTGAAAGTAAAAAGACAGCAGATTAATTATTCGTGAAAAGGCCATTAAGTTGTTTTAATCAAAAGGATAAGTATCATGTGGATTACAAGGGTCTGAAAAGTCAAAGAGGGATGGGTGATGGATGATCTAATACCCAAAGATGTGACAGGCCAAAGAAAGATGATGATAAACTCTAGGCACAGCTGAAGGAATCATTCTCTGTAAATTTTATAGTCCTGGTACAAGTCAAATGGAGAGGAATAAACAAGCTCAACCCACTTCTGTAAGGTTCTGTAAGGAAAAACAGTGGCCAATCACTTACATTAAGACCCCAAAGGAGAAAACATACGACCAAGTAAACCAGCGAAAAGCTGTTCTCTCCCCTCTATATTTCTCTCATTTTTAGAAAACTAGCACACAAATCAATTACCAGAAATCTTCCAAATTACCAAGCTGTTTAAGGACTAAATTTAGGCCTGAACTGAAATGGTTAATTATGAAATTTGAGACCCAAGAGATGAGTGATTTGTCCAGGAACCCTGGTCTAAACACATTACAGAAGAAAATTTTCACACTACCTTCTTGGCAGAAATGAAAGAAGAGATCTAATGCATTATATTAGATAGCAAATCCTGGACAATCTCTGTCTTGCCTTGGCATTCTTTTGGTTGCTTCATAAGGAAGAGGCAACACCAAATTTTATTTCAGAGATGGTTTTCTCAGGCCAACCAAACAGGGAACTTGTGGAAGGGTAAGGGAAATTACAGCAACTCAGAATAAATGAATACTGTGCTCTCTCTTGGCACAGCTTTGTAAATCATGGTAGAGTCTATCTGACTGTCATAGAATCACTCTGAAAATTATTTGGAACTCCTTAGTGGCAGGTACACAGGATAAGGAGGAAATCAGATTCCAGCAGGGAATTTTGCATATGAAAAGTGAAGTGACTTCAAACTCAAAGTATGTGTAGTTTCATTAGTCAGTGTATATCTGGACCCCATCATTCATCCCCAGGTCTGACTAGCTATTATGCTACTACAATATCCTACATATCAATGAAAAAAAAAAAAAAAACGGTTAGTTTCTCCTGCAGCTTCCCCACTTGCAGAAGCGGCCCGTGCTGGTCTGTGCCACTATGTTTCGCAATTCCACAAATTCTTGCTGTAAGGCCGGTGTAATTAATTCCTGAAGGACCCCAACTTTTATTAGAAGTGCCAGCCTGCTGCATTTACCACAGGAGAGTTTCTTGAACTTTCTTTGGGCTGACAGTTCATTAATAAGCAGCCTCCTCCACAATCTCTCTACTGGTTTTTGTTCTCCTGCACCTTTTCATCAGGCAATCCATTTATTAATCTTGCCATTAATCTCAGCCAACAGGCATTGTAGTCCCCAGGCAGCTCTATATTTTTGTCACTAATTTTTAAAAAATTGTTCACCAACTGAAATCACTCAGCCCTCGTTGACAATTTTCATAGGCCCTGTTGGGATGTGGGATCTTTCTGAAATTATTTCAACCTTACGTAAAATGAAGAAAATCATAATTTCCAAGAGGACTGAGAAACAAGATGAGGGATAGAAGTTTATGCACAAGGATAAATGAATCCCAAATATCTAACTTTATAATTTAGGAATTTTCTCACAGACTTAAAGAATAGTCCAGTTGATTCCTAATGGTTTCTATAAGAAAGTACCCCAAAGAGAAAAAAATTTTAAGGGCATTTCCTTGGCCCCCAGAAAGCAAACTCTCTCAAATACAGGGTCTATGTATCTTCCTAGTGGATGCTTAATAAATCCTCTATACTACACTGTCTAATATGGTAGCCACTGGCCATATGTGGCTATTGAACACTTAAAATATGGTTAGTGCCATACATTGAAATGATAAGATTTTGGCTATATTGGGTTAAATACAATATTTAAGAATTAATCTCACTGTTTCTTATTTTTTTAATGTGGTTACTGGCAAATTACAAATCACATGTATGGCTTGTATTTTGTTTTTATTGGACAGCACTACTCTATAAATTTGGGGACCTTAAGCAAATCAGTTCAGCTCTCCACGCCTCAGTTTTCTCATCTGTCAAATGGGACTATTAATCTCAGTCTAAATTGACAGGGATATTGTGAGGCTCATGTCAGGTTAACACAAATAATGGCCCTTTGAAGACAATACATATAAACTATTTAAATTTTTTAAAACCTATCAAATTTGGCACAGCACTTTCACACATTCTCGATAGTGGTCACAACTTTGTGAGATAGGTATAATTATGGTCCCCATTTATCATATGAGGATGGGGGCTCAGAGAGGTGCCTAATGCTGCCATGCCTGACAGATGCCCTCACCTCCACTCCCACCCTGCTCTGCCCCTTTGAAGGTATCCTGGCATTAGTTGGCTCTGAGCCTCATCTTCTCACTACCATTTATATCATAACAACAATAATAATAATAATACAAACAAGAGTCTGTAGGAAGTGAAAGAGAACATGCTCAAGGGAGCATTGTGACCTACCCTGTTTCCAGAAGGTTGCACTGATGCAAGAAGCCCCATACATCCTCTTCAGCTACCTAAGAGTAGTTTGCCAAGATCCCAGCAGGAGCCCCCGCTTTCTGATTTTAGTTGTCCTGATAGCTCAGCCAGCAAACCCTCAGACGGGGAGAAGAGGTGGGGAGAGCGGATGGGAGAGAAGGACCCTCAGAAAATCCCCAAGCTACTAATAGGTTTCCTGAGGCCAGAGATAGGATCAGAGCACAGTTGTAACCACATCCTGCCTGCTGCTGGCTGGGGCTCCTCAGCAGCTCAGTCAGTCAGCCTGGCTGGCACTACCTTTCAACTGGAAGTCAATGACAGCAATGACAGTAACTGCTGCTGGGGAGAGGACAAAATGTGAACTTGAGTTAAAAACACTGGGCCCAAGCATGCTCAGGCTCTGATCTCTCTGAGCGATCAGTCAACACTCAGCTCTCATCTTGCAAGCCCATGGAAAGAGGCAGCACCATTCAAGGGATATAAGACCTCCAGCAAATGAAGCCTCTAATTGTTAAAAAACCACCATAGGTGTCAACCACCTCATTCCCAGAAGAGATCAGATAAGCAGGTGGTTTGGCTCACAGCGACCACAGTGGTCACGTAGGCATTTCAGCTCCAACCGTCTAACTGCCTGTTCGGAAGTGAACTCTGAAATTGCAGGCTGCCAAAATATACTCCAAAAGTCACAGTGTCCTTTATATTTTTTCAAGTAGATCTTAAAAAAAAAAAAAAAAAAAAAAAAAAAGCTCTGAAATTGCAGGCTGCCAAAATATACTCCAAAAGTCACAGTGTCCTTTATATTTTTTCAAGTAGATCTTAAAAAAAAAAAAAAAAAAAAAACAAGTCACTTGTTTCCTATATAAGAAATGTTTGAAGTCAGAGGCAAGGGAGAGAGGAAAGAAACTTCTATAACTGGGATGAATGCAAGTTGAAGTAAAATAAAAGGAAGTCAGTCCTAGCAAAAAGGGGAACTTAAAAGGAAATCGGTAGTAGATCATATAGAGTTTGTTTTGGCCTGAACCACAGTATTACTGAGTTCTTGACCTCTGCACAAAAAGAAAGGAAGAAAGAACGAAAGATAGAAAAAAATAACTCAGCTGTTATCTAGACTAGAACTCTTCCACTCTTCCAATGCATGTGTGTGCTTCAAGGACGAGGGTACTTCAAAAAGTTCATGGAAAGATTCGTATTATCTTTTAATTCTATTTTTCCACAAACTTTTTGAAGTACTCTTGTACATTTTCATCTTTAAGTGTGTTTGCTATATTCATCAGAACAAGGAAGAAAACTTCATGTCACCACTGGAATGAAACCATCTAACCTGGTTGGGATCAGAGTTACCTCTGGCACCTGGTTGCCAGGTGGCAAAGTAACATCTTGGTAGAAGTAAAGTTTTCCACGACAGGATTTAAAAAAAAAAAAAAAAAAAAAAAAAAAGCCAAACAAGTAAAAAGCATGGCAAACGGGCATCTGTGATCAGAATTCATGACCTTTTCAGCTTTTGCTGTTATAGCTCTGGGTTTACCTCTACCTGTTAACCAATGCTCATGCATGGAAGCTGCAGTCAGACCTCCATGAGGCCTTTTTCCTACGCTCTTCCCTCCGAGGCGCCTTGGAGGCTGCCTGCCCAGAAACTGCTGCCCAGCAGGCCCCGGTGAATAATTATCTCACAGTCACTCTCTTGGTATTGTAATTTCTCTCAAGCTCACCAGCTAACCAAAGAAAAGCCCACTGGAGATTCAATATTCTATTCATAAACACTTGGTCAGCACAAAAGTTACAGAAATATTTGGAACTAGATTTTTCCCCCTCCCTGGAGACGAGTTCAATTCAAGACTATGGCTTCGATAACACTGTCCACCAGTCTGGAAACCATTTCAGACTTTATGCCTTCTGCCTACCAATGTGGAAAACAAATCTTAGAATTGTACTAAGTAAAAATACTGCCTAAAATGTACATAGGCACACAAGTGAAAAGAGATTATTAATTATGATTTTATTTTCTTGGGCCTGGGCTGTCATCAGATGTACGTCTATGTTGAAGGCCAACCCAAATTTGGATCTTGCACCTCTCCCTGACTTGTGGATCCCAAGACTCTCCAGAAATATTACGGCTGCTGAGGTTTCCCTCACGTGAAAGACGATCTACTGGAAACAGGCTTCACTGTCACCATTTGTGAATCACCAACATTCAATTAAAAATATTTAAACCAGCAATACTGCCTCCAGAGGTAGAGTAGTTTTACCTGCTAAGAGGCAAAAGGAGAATAAGCAAAGAGAAATATCATTATTTAACCTGGTAGCACAGTTGCTAAAGGAGGATAAGGAAACCTAATGAAAGAGCAAAAAGAAAGGGGAAAGACCAGAAGGTCCAAAAAAAATTTTTTTTAAATCCATGTGCATGGGAATATTTTTTAAACATAGCGCACAGAACTTTTCAATGTAGCTGTGAGGATCAAGCCATGAAACAAGCACAGTCAGGGACTGGGGTCTGCTAAGTCACTAAGCAGGAGAGGCAGAGGGGACTTGGGGAAGAGGGCAGAGAAGGCCCAGCTAGCTGCCTTTTCTAGGTAGCCGTTGCAGGGAAATTGTGCTTACTGAGGTTGGACTTGCTTTATTCACCAGGAAAATATTGCCTGCAAATCTCTAAGAACTTTCTATTGAACGCTATGGTTAAAATGAATGGGTAATGGGACTTCTTCCACAACTGTGAAAAATAACCATCTTCTAGTGAAACTGAGGACAGATGCCACCTTCAGAAAGAGAATGGCACTTACCCATCTGGAGAGGGAGCAGGGTACAGTGGGTAGGAGGATGGATTCTGGAGCATCACTATGTGACTGTGAACACCAGTTCTGTCCCTTACTGTGGCACACTAGGGAAATTCATCTCTCACAGCCTTAGATTCTTCCTCTGTGAAATGAGGGTGATAATCTATTGCCTACCTCCAAGAGCCATTATGTGGATTAAATAAGTCAATACTTGCAAAGTGCGTACAATGGTACTTGTCAAGTAGTAAGTCTATATATAAACACTTGCTCTTATTAATTATCAGCAAAAATGTGGGCATGGACTGCACAATGGGAATAATTCAGGCGAGGAACACAAAGTGGCCTGGAATCTCTCAGTAATTCAGAGAACAGATGGGCTTTCAAGTCAGACAAACTGAGGATCAAATCCTGGTTCTGATTCTTACTTGCTGTGTGACCTTGGGCAAGTTATTTCAAGTCTCTGAACTTATTTTCTCATTGGTAAAATGAAGACTATAATACTTACCTCATATGGTAAGAAAGATTAAATGAGTGAAATGAGTAAAGCACTTAGCATAGTGCCCAGCAGCACATACTCAGCACGCAATAAATACTTGTTATGATGTTACAGGGACTCACTTTCATCCAGCCATGATTACTAGGCTCCATAAGGGCCAACATCTAGTTTCAGAAGCCTTAGTGGCCTTTAGACAAAACTCTATCTACCTTCAACATAGGGAGTGGAGGAAAACCACCTCTTATCACTTCCCATAAGTTGATGGGGACATTTTCTACTCACTGCTGTTCCTATTCACACACAAATGTGTGCAGCAATGCCTCAGATCTGTTACCTGAGAGGAGGGAACTGTGCAAAGGGACAAGGAAGAACTGGAATTTTGAGAGTTTCTTCAAAGCAAACTCACATTGTACACTGTTTATTTCATGTCTGATATGTACCACTACCTTTATCCCAGGCTGAAAGGGAAATAGATCCCAAGACTAGGGAGACAAAAGCTTTAGGAGGGGGTTGGGAGGGTAAAAGAAGCTGGACAGTCTGCCACAGGGGGTCAAATGTAAGAAAGCAAACAAAATACAAGTAAGCTTTTAGCAGAAGGTCCCAATTTTAGACAGAAAAAGGAATGGAACCAGGAACCAGGAGAAATACCACTGAATATCTGAAAGTCCAAATATTAAGCCATAGAGCAATTAAAGTTTAGTCCTATTTTCTATGCTTTTTCAAACACTGCATTTACAAAAGCATTTAATTCCCTTTCAAACTTTTTTAGGAGTAGGAAAGAAGGAAACAATATAACTGCAGTAATGTTGGTGCATAGACCCAATTTTGAAACATCCCTACACCTGCCCATTCATCATTACTTCAGGGAAGGTATATAAGCTTAGAAAAGTGATTAGCAATGTGAATTTAGGGTGAACGGAGCTTCAAAGACTCAGAGAGTACAGACTTCAAGGGAGCAAACACTCTTTCTACAGGGATCAAAAATTCTTTTTTGAGATTGTTACTAAGGAAATTTTCTGTAACAGAGGAAAATGGTATTTTTATGAGATTCATGTTAAAACAACAGGATTGAAGAAAGTTCCAGAATTACATAGAAAGAACAACGTTATGTATAAGCCAAAATTTCTGAGAGATGAATTTGACAAAATTGTTTCATTTGGTGGCCAGCTGGAATCTGGAAAACGTAAACATTTGACATACAGAATGCAATCTGAGTGACTCTTACCACTTCCATAGCAACAAATTTAACCCTAAGTCAAAACCCACCACAGGGACTCTGTTTGGAGAACTGCTATTCAACCAGTGGTTGTGATCAATTTATCCCAGACTTCTCTTTCTCAGCTGCTCAGCCCCTCTGAGGGTCTCCTTCCTAGTGTCCCTCTGGGTAAGTCTAAGCTTGGGAGAGAGGGGGACAGGGTTGTGCATGTGTAGCTGTGCCTCAGGACTGCACCAGCCTGCTATGCCTCCCAGTCTGCAATTCCCAAGGAGGTATCCTGGCCTTCTCAACAGTGCCCACTCCCACATCAAGGTCTTTCTCTGGCCTGGGGTGAGACACCAGGTGAGTCCACAAGAAGCCAAAGAGGGAGGGGTGGGCCAATATCACTCCGCGGGCACCATTCCAACTGATGGCTACTAAAATAACAGTAATGACACCCTGGCAATGGACAAGATAAGCTGTTCAGAAAAGATGGCCATGGTCCCTCTGCCACGGTTCTGCTAGGGGAGGGGGTTCACAGCAGAGAATGGGTGCGAATCTGGCACCTATTCCAATGACTTGACCCACCGAGGAGAGGCCCTGAGATGGCTGGCTTAGGGCAGAACGCTGGGCCTACAGTGCCAGAACAGAATTGGTTTCTAGCTAGGGAGGGAGAAAAAGGAGGACGGGAAGGTGTGACGATCCTACCTCTACCTGTGCAACCTGCAGGCATTTCTTTGGGCTTTCTCCCCCTGTCCCCCAAAGGGATGCGGAATCCAAGACCCCATTAGACACACCTGATCTTCAGATCAAAAGGAAAGGTTTCCAAAGTCTGCGCGCCTCAGGCCTCAGAAATAGAAGAGGCGCCGCCCTGCACCTTCTAGAAACTCCCGGGAAGGAGAGCCCCGGATGTGAGACTCAATCTCAAGAGCGCAGCCGGGAATTGGGATGCGCCGCTGCAAACTCCGGAGTGAGGACTGGCGCCCCTCCTCCGCCTACAGGACTGGAGGTCCCCCCGGCGCGGCCATTCCTCCACCCAATCTCCCAGGGCAGACGCTTTTCCTTCCTTCATTACCTCACTGCCTCCTTCCCTTGACGTCAGCCCCGGGACCCCGCGCGGAGGGGCGGGAGGCTGGCGATGGGGTTGGGGCAGTCGGTGTCAGGATCCCCGCAGCACCGGGCGGAGGGGGCAGGGATGAGGTAATGCGCGCCCACACCGGCCGCAGAGGCGCTCGGGGCCACTTCCCCGCCCCCGCCCCACCTTCCAGCGCGGCGCGGCCGGTGTGTGCGCCACAGTTACCAAGCAACGCTATCGGAGACGCGGGACGCGGGCCAAGTTCACCCAAAGTTGAAGAATAAATTTGGGGGAGAGAAGGTGGAGGGTGGAGCGAGAGGCGAGAAAAGGAAGGGACGGGGGGAAAGCCTGAAGGGCAAAGAAGCTGGTCTTTCGCTTCCCGCGAACAGGGGAAGGGGGCAGGAGCAGTCTCCCGGCAGAGCCCCGCTGCCACCCGACCACTGTCCCGCACGCACACGGGCCGGGGACCCGCCCCAGCGCGGAGCCGGGGTGCCGGGAGCGACGCCCACAGAGCGCAGCTGCGGGCCGACACTCTGGGGGGTCGGGGTGGGGAGAAGGCAGTGGCTGAGGGTCCGCACCCTCGAAGTAGGCTGGCTCTTGTGGCCAGAGGGCGAGGAGGGGTTTGAGCAGTGAGAAGAACGGAGTGGGAGTGAACTCCGTGTGGCAGCTTCGGTCCCCATGAAGCTAACGGCCTCCCAGCAAAGACCTTTCAAAAAGTAACTTCTCGAAATGCTCTTTCTTCAGCTGCAAACATTTATATTCATTTATATTCAAAATAAGAACCACCGGGAGACAAGCAGGATCTGTTTGAATTTGCTTTACAAGTAGCCCGGAGCGGTAAAGGCGTCCTGTGCTCCCAGGACCCTGCACGCCAGCAGTTCGTGCGCAGCCCGCGTCGGACGTTCCCGCGTCCTCTGCCAGGTCCTGGGAACCCACACACGGTGCCCAGCGCCTTCCTACCTGCTGTAGGGCGTCCTCAGCAGCAGGGCCTGGCTGCCAGTGCAGCTGTCGGTGGGGGTGTGGCAGCTGTAGACCGGGGGCGGTACGGAGTACTGCTGCTCGCCTGCCGAGAAAGCCAAGGACAGCAGTGAGCGCGACCCGAAGGCTCAGGGGTGCGACGGCGCGGGCAGGGGCTGGGGGCACTGGGGCCCGGAGGCCGGGGCGTGCAGAGCGAGGCCGTCCAGATCGTAAGGAGCTACGCTTCTCACTTGACGTTTCCCTAGCTGTCACCTCGTGGTGCACCTTAAAGGCCCTCGGAACGTTCGTAGACTTGTACCGTACTCGGGATGGAAGAACACTCAATCTTTTAAATAAAAAGAAATTGGACTAGTTACTTCTAAGGTCCCTTTAGATGTCCTCTTCTCCCTTCCCCAGTTTGCTGCGGGTTAGAAATTCCTGGGGCATGGGGGGAAGAGTAGCAGCCTGGAAGGAGGGAGAAAGACCCGCATCATTCCCGCCCGCTTACCCAGCGAGCCCTGCTGACCCATGGGGTCCTCGTGCTTGAAGGAGTGGTTGGAGAACTGAGCCGCGTGGTGGGAGGGCGTGTGGCCGTAGCCGGGCGTCCCGTCGAAGGTGACCGTGCTGTATCCTGCGGTGGAGAGTAGCACAGCGTCAGTGGGGCTCTCGGGGACACAGGGACGGTGGGTCTAAACCAGAATCCAGGCGGGGGATGGGGCCTGACCCCCGCATTCGGATCCCCAGCGGAGGATAATGCCGTCTCACCGGCCCCCAGGATTTGAGGGGCGAAGCCGGGCCCAAGCCCAAGGGTGTGATTGCGGGACAGGCTCCCCATCCTTTCTCAACTAAAACCCTGACCTCCCGCTGATTTCCAATTTATTTATGCTTCCGTCTTCTACTGTGTCGGCCGCTTCTGCGCCGAACTCCTGGCAAGTTAAGTAGAAAGACCGTCACCCCTTCGGTGGAGAAAGTTGTTCTCCCCAAAAAACAAACACTGCGGCTTTCGCTCAGGGGCAGCGCGGGCGAATGAAATGAATCTGCAAAGGTGACCCGAGGCTGACTCCGAGCTGTAAATCAAGGGCCCGCGCACCAACTTTCATTAATTACTTGGAGCCAGTTAAACTGCCTAGACTCTAAATGGGGAGAGTAATTACCGAGAAATGTTATCGGTCTGGGGCTGCACGACCCGACCCCACGACACCCGAGGCCCTCAGGAAAGATGGTGAGGGGGAAAAGAAGGGGCCCTTCCAGTTGGACCCGCAGGCCTCGACGCTGCTCCCTCCTCCTCTCCCTCTCAGACCCACCTGGTGCCCACGGGTTCGACCCTGACCACTGCTGCGGGAACCGACTTCCTCGCTTCCCAAGCCGGAAAACCGGTTTCTCTTAGAGTGTATCTGACATTGTATCCCCTTTTCCCTCCATGGCAGTGCACGTGGCCCTCTGCCTCAGTTTCCCTATGGAGAAACCGAGGGCAGTATCATTCGTGTTCTTCCCCATCTTTCCGAAGATGAGAAAAGGAATGTAGTGTCTCGGTTGAAAAAGATAGTCTTTTATGATTATTACTAGTAAATTGCTTTAACCATGTACCTCATGAGCTTCTGGAAAACTGCTGCCGCCTCTGGGGAAAAAATATTCTCTGGCTAAAGATCAATCCTGGGTACCTGAACCCAAGAGTGGGGTTTCCTCCACTCTTAAGCCTTAAGCTTCGGGGTCTGTGGCCTGAGATCCAGGCCCAGTGGCAAATGAGAGGTGCCGAATGTCACATCGGCTTCCTGCAGGGCCACACCGCCACTTTCAGTTCCTCCTGGCCCAGCAGCTGTGCTGGGTCTCCAAACCCCACAAAATTCTTGGGAGTGACATGGGACAAATGGCTCCTACCTTGCTCCTGTATCATCAAGGTTCTGCAACAAGTGTCTGGGAAGACTCCCCAGGACAGAAAAAAGAGGTCATTACCCCCATCTTGAAACACATACACATCGACACACCCCCAAAACAAAAAATGAGCTTCGATCGCCCACTCTGGGGCAATGGAGGCACGACCCAGAGGGTGGTGTGTCAGAGTGGGTGCAAGAGAGGAAATCGTCATTAGCCGGTCATATAGGTCACGCTTAATTAAGTCTCACGCACAGCTCAGGGCCACAGGTTGATGATTTTAAAAGCCACCAGCTTTTATCATCTGCATGACCCCTGAGGGCCTTCATTTCTCGCCTGCTAAATGGGCAAAGATAACCCCCGCCCCGTTAGCTCAGGCGTGGGTGAGCACCGCTTGGGCTTCCAGGGATTTCCTTTTGGGAGGGAGGCCTGGCCCCGTTTGAGACCTACGGATAGCTTACAAACGAAGTTTGGCTCCGTGCATCCACTTTTGAACAAGGGGAAGGCCGAATTTCTGAAAGGACATTTTTTTAAATAAAGAGAAAGAGAAACAGAATCGACAAATTTTCCCTAGACAAACCCTACTCCATTCCTGAGCCGATGATCGGGCAGTGGCCCAGGGCACCGCGCAGTCCTCGGAGACCCGCTCGTGCGTGGCGAGGACCGCGGGTCCCGGGCCACAGCTCCCGCACCGGCCCCGTCGGCTCCGCGCCCCAGAGCTCGGGCCCAAGGATGTGGGTACCCCGCGAGGCTCCCAAGACCCCTTCTCAGACGGGACAGACACACAGACCTCAGTGGTCAGGGGCCGGCCTCGAAACCCCTCCCTCAGGTTCCCCGGGAGGGGCAGTGGTGAAAGCACCTGCGGTGCGGAGGGAGGACTCTTTTAATTAGAAGCTTATCGAACGCGGGACTGATTAGAGCGCGCTGTCCCCGGCCCCGCGCTGGGCCTGGCGCGGAGTGCGGGGGCGGGGGCCAGGGGAGGGACAGCTGCCGGCGGGGAGGATCAGCGTGTTCAAAGGCTCCTTGTACAGGCCTTGGAGGGAGAGGCTCTAGCGACCAAGGTAGCGCCTTTCCCACGGTTAGTCCGGGCCTGGGAGGGGAGCGCAACCTTGACCGCGCAGAGAGGCGAGACACGCTCTGAGCCTCCCTCCCCCGCCCGCGGCTGCGGAGGAGCCCGGGAACCGCCTGACCCGGCCGGACCCCGAGGGGTAGAGGGGTAGAATGGACAGCAGGCTCGGCCAGGAAGGTGCTCGGAAGGCCGAAAATGATGACTCTGCAGCTGCGGCGGTATACGGGAAATTGTCCCCCAACGAAATCCCCCCTCGTATATGACCGAAGGGGGGCGCCTTTGGCCCTCGGGCGGAGCTGGCCTCCCCACGTGACCCTAGGGTGGCCTGGTGATCCCAAAGCCTGATCCTTCGCTAGGGTTCTGCTCACCAGCGAGGCTGGGGATCAGGACTGGCTGGCAAGCAACCTTTTTTCCTCCCTAAGCCCGGCATTTAGTCTGGGGCTACCCCTTCACCCCACTTCTGCCCTGACAAATCCTCCAACCTACAATGAGTTTGGTGACCATCCAGCGGGCCAGAGAAAATCCATCTCAACAGTGGGGCCAAGATCCCTGGAAAAGGAGGTAGAAATAGCCTTAAATGGCCTGGGTTCAAGTCTCAGCTCAGCCACAAACTGAGAGACCTCTTGCACACCTAATTTCTTAGAGCCTTGATTTCCTCATCCAAAAATAAGTGGCTCCACTGTCAGGCTGTAAGCTTCTTGCAAAGGTTCTTGGGGCCATTAATGGTCTGAATATTCAATCCCTAGTGCCTGGCACAGAATAATATTGGCACTTGATGTTTGCTAAATTAATATTTAGTAAATTAGAATGCCAGCTACAATATTTAAGAAAAAGGAAAAAATGAAGGAGGTTGTGAAGCTTTTTGAGAGGGGAGAGGGTGACTGTAAGTGGGCGCCAGAGTTGCCCTTCCCTTTGGCCTTGGCACTGATGGACATTCCCACATCCTCGGGAAAGAACTGACATGCCCTTGCTTCCCCCAGCCCAAGCCTCGGGCCAGGCCTTGCATTCCCGGAGGAGCCTCAGGAACCCCTCAAATCAAAATAATAAATCCAGAATCTCCATGCCAAGTGAGCTGCCAAGTGAGCCCAAGGGCTGGGCGTGATCAACCCACTTATGTTTTTATTGCAAGAGAAAACCTAAGCACGCAGACAGGAACCCGCTTCCAGGCTGTGACTGAGTTTGGGCTTTTCCCGGGGGATAGGAAGGGCTCATTCACCTGCTAGTCCTGGTCCCCAGCCCCCAAGCCCTTCTCTCTGCTCCAGCCGGGCTTGTCTACTTGGGAGGAATCCAGATTTTTCTCAGAAGTGTAGTGCCCGCTGACAACAAAGCCCACAGTCCCGCTCCCCAGACTGGGTTGATGGGGTCCCAGGCACCAGAACTGCCTTGCAGAAGACAGGACACAAGGGTCCAAATCGAAGCAAAAAGAGTCCATGTTCAAAAATCCCGGCCGACCCTAGATAGACTCAAATAAAAGATTATGGCACATTAATATTGCCCCAGGGGCTTAGATTAGGTAACTTCTCAGGCCTCTCCAGTGGCGTATATCCATACACAGGCTCACTCACGTTATACACCTGCCTGACCCGATGGTGTTTAGGTGGGCTGCCACGTTCAGTATTTGGGCTCCCGCGTCTCGGGCATTAGCTTCAGGCTGGATCCAACTTCCAGGCTGCCTACCACAGCTCTCCTCTTACAGATGATAAACTGAGACCTGGAGATTTGCCAAAAGTAACACCAGTCTGCTAAATTGAGGTGGCACGATCCGATATCACGAGCCTCTGCGATGGACACTAAGCCGTTCCAACACCCCTCGAGTACAAATCACTAATTTCAATAAGGAAAGACCTAGAGCGGAGGGACTCCTTCCGTCTGCTTGAGGTTCCTCCGCCGGATACCGATCCCACATTCCCCCGACCAAAAGGAAGGTTTCGGTTTCGCCAGGCTTGGGGTGGGCCAGGTGGTCCCAGCTGGGCTACGGTAGGAACCGCCTCGAGACAGGCGTTTAGAAGGTGCGGACGGTGGGAGCCCGAGTACCTCCTGCAAAGAGTACACACTCTGCTTCTCCCGTCGCACGGAGACCTGAAACATCCCAGTCCCTAGGCCCGCGTAAAGTTCTGCTCCAGGAAAAGCATCTCCCGTTGTGTTAATAAAGCGTTTCCTAAAATGTCGAATCAAACCGAATCGATTTAGGCTTTCAACAGCGCAGAAATCCAATGACACTAAACGGAGAGGACAAACTACAGGGGCTCGGCACGACCGGCTCCGCTTTGGTCCCGGCAAAAGAGAGATGTGCGGGCGCCAGCAAAGGATTAGGAAACAACCGGCCGAGGTCCCTCGTTGGACACTGACTGAAGACGGCAGATAAACCTGTCCTTCTGCCAACCCCCAGGTTATGCAAAAACCGTCCCCAAAGCAAGCCCCGCGTTTACAGGACGACGGGTGCCCAAGGCACGCTGGAAGGAAGGCCGATGCTCGGGCCTCATTCCGCGGGCTGCGGTAGAATCTGGCCCCGCATACCTTGGAGTCGAATAAACCGGGTTCTCTTCCATCCCCGTAGCCTGCGTGGCTGCCACCTGAGTGAAACCCAGCATCGACCCACTTCTGTACTAGCATGCGCGGGAGCTTACGCGGTCACGGCATGGTTCCGGAAAGCTATCTGTTACTGGCCCGTTCGTTTACTCATTGTAGAGCTCCGTGACACTTATTGTGCGCCTAGTGTGTGCCAACGCCGTATAAGGGCTGTTGGTACTCCGGGACATTTTGGCGTGGAGGAAACAGTACAAGCTGCTTACCCCGCGCTGGTCCCACTCCAAATCCACAGGCTATCTAGACATCTAAAAAGACCAGTGCCCGGTGACAACCTGGTGGTGCCTTGAGCAACAAAACCTCTTGCCGAGGCAGAGTCAGGTGGTGCACCGGTCCCGTCTCCCCCTTCCCATGGGAACTCTCAGTCCCGGACTCTCCCGGACACCAGGGGCTCCCAGATGGCCTCCCGGGTCAAGCGAACAGTCGGGCGCTCTGCTCTGCTCGGCCGTGGACCATGTTGGGAGCCGATGCCCGCATGCACTCCCTCTCCCCGGCCAGCCGTTTCTCTCCCCAGCCGCCGCCTCCGCTACTCTCACGGCCCTTGGGGAGGCAGCCGGCTAAGGTTAGGGAAGGGCTGGGAGAGAGGAGGGCGGCGCGTGGCGAGAGCCCCGGCGCCACCGCCCCGCGTGTAGGGGGCGCTCCCCGACCTACTTACCCTGGTTGCGAATAGCGGGCTGGCTCTCGAGGCAGCTGGGCAGGTAGGGCGCGCTGGGGAACATCCTAGCCTGACCAGAGGACGCCTGGCTGGGCGGAGGAGGACCGAAGGGTCCGTAGCGGCAGGCTCCGGCTGTGCCGGTGAACTGGCCGGAGAAGTGGACAGTGAAGGCGCTCAGACACTGCTCCTCGTGCGGCTCCGCGCCGCCCCAGCTTGGCTCCTGTTTGATGAAGGAGTGGGGCGGCGGCGGCGGCGGCGGGGGCGGCGGCGGTGGGCGGTCCCGAGTCTCGGGTCTTCTGGTGGCTGGGTTTTGCTAGGGTTAAGGCGCCTTGGTCGGTCTGGCTGCTTGGACGATGACGGCGGCGGCAGCGACGGCGGTGGGCGGGCACGGCTCTCGAGTCCCATGGGGGAGGAGCTTTTTGGGGCTTCAGGCGACCTGGTCGGCCTGGCTCCTTAGACTACGACGGAGGCTGAGGCAGTGGCGGCGGCGGTGGGCGGTCCAGTGTCTCGGAACCCCAGGGCGCGGGACATCTATTGGGGTTCAGGCTCCCTGATCCGACTGGCAGATTGGACCGGGGCGGCGGTTTGGGGAACGCATCTTGGTTCCCCGGGGGGTGGGGGCTTTTGTTGGGGTTCAGGCTCCCTGATCGGCCTCGCAGATTGGATAGGGCTGGCGGTTCTGGGGAACGGATATTGGTTTCCAGGGGTGTGGGGTGGGAGGAG